ATTTGAAAACCTTGTTATTCTATCCACTTACCATCAATCAAGTATTTTTAACGCAAGGATAGTCGAAGGCTTTGTCCGAAAATTTACAATAGCTGAAAGTCTACAGCTCGTAATGTAAAACCATAGCTTTTCAACGCTGACAATTCAACACAACCAAAGTATGCTGCCTACAGTGCACGTTAGATATGCCTTTAGGATTTATGATCTGTCAATATGAACCCCGTAGTTGTACCGTTTGACCGACACACCGATCACATCATCCACAAGAAACAATTAGTCTTCTTTCTCCGAAAATGTGTCCGTTATGGAACCGTGTTAACCGATCTCGAATTGATTCGAATCCACTGCAGTTGAAACCGCTATACCGGTAAATTCAATTTATTAAATATACAATGCGTCACGTGGACGTGCACGTGCTCCGAAAATTCGGCGGTAAGAACGCGGAACAATCGCATTTGCCGTCGTCGATAGACGACTTCTCGTCGCGGCCGTGCGAAAAGCATTTCGCCACAGCGTCGGTCGGAGCCGTTGATCCGTGAATCGAGTGCAGAGTGCGAGCAGAGTTGTCCGCGCTGTCTGTATTTAAAGATCCGGTCGAGATAATGGCGACTTAGCCGTCGCGCACGATTCGCCGTCCACCGCGACTCTCCCAACCGTCGGAGTCGTCGTTGCGTAGTCCCGTCACGTTCGCGCCGTTTCTCGGTTTTCTTTCCCGCTCGACGGTATATAACGTTCCTCCCCGACTATTACACAGGATATTAACGCCTTTTCTTTCGGTTTCGCCGCGACGCAACTCTCTCGTTGAAAAAACGCGGAGCACCCGGCGCGCAATAAATGCCGTGGGCAAACAATTTTTTCGCTACTCGCTAATCCAGTCAGTTAGTCGAACGTGACTCACAGAAAAAGATATATATTGTACGCATTTACCGGTCATTGCGAGTGACAATCGCTGTGACGCGCGAGCCAAGAGTCAAACGTCACTTTGTGTCGGTGTCGTTAGCCTGAGAAAAGCGGCCCAACGACCAGTGTAATGAGAACCTCTAAAGAAAAAAAAGGAAAAGGCTCGACTCTAATAATAATAATAATAATGGGCGGTGTTTCAATGTGGTCAGAGAGAAAGAGATATATATAGTGAACAGGTAGAAAAGTTGCCTAAAAGGATCAGGATAAGTTCTGTTGTATGTAGATTGTCATTAATAGATTTGAAATACATCCGGAGAATACACATCGAAAATTTTTCTTGAAATACATCCGGAGAATACACATTGAAAATTTTTCTTGGTTTATATTTATCTATTGTTTTTGAATTGCCTAATCAAAAGTTAAGTTTTAATCGATGTCGATTTACGCTCTTAGCGATATATACGATTCGCTCAGCTGATTTCGATTCTTTCTGTCGAATATTACAATTTATATACGTTTTCTTAAAAAATGACAAAATTCAAAAAATGATTATAAATTTGCCAGAAAAGGAGAAATATTTTCCAACTTGACGGAAATGTACTGACTAATCAACTAATATCAGCGAAAAATTCTTGATGTAACCGAATCTTTTTTGTCATTTTGATTTCGTAATCTTTAACCTTTAAGGATAGTCACAGCACTTCACGTATGGTTATTTAACAAATTTTATTAAAAAGAAAAATAAAAGATGTTGCCCAGAAGTCTGAAAATTCATCATTTTTAAATTCTTCTGTTTCGTAAGAATAAAGAACTAAAAATAAAATTTTCTTGAGATATTTTTCTGTTGTTTCTTTCTGTTTTTTTTTTTTTTTTCGAGATGAGCATTTTACCTACCTACTACTTAGAAATTAAGAAACCACTCTTTTCATAACAATTTTGACGGATATTTTTATTAAGTTAAGTTTGTAGTTTACTTGAGATGTGGATTGATAGGATAACGTTCACTTAATTGATAATTATAACCTGAAGATTCCGTTTTTTTTTTTTTTTAATCGTGTCACTTTTGAAATAAGGGAACGATGTACGTAAACTCACGTATTTGTGTTCAATTCTGAGCCTTATAAGCCCTTTCCACATTTAACAAGCATTTTTCTTCGTATTGGGAGTATGTATCCATCCCTAAAATAGTTTTCACGTACACTACACCCTATGTAGTCGAACATCATGGAACTGGTGGGTATAGGGGCGAAGGGAAAAGCGGTGATCCGTAACTCGGGAAAGGCTGGATAGACGGACGGTGCGAAGTGCTGACGTTAGTTAGCAGGGTACACGTTGCGAACGTCAACTGGCAGACGGGCGTCGTTACGTATACACCCGTATACACGCGCGTATTAGAGAGAGACCGGACCTCGCCGGCGGGTTTGCTACCTCCTGTAAACTGCACGGCGCGCCGTTTGCGCAGGACCCCCAATTCGGTAAATATTGATACTTTTAATCGGTCTGTTTGCACCGACACGCTGTTCAAACGCGTCCGAATGTGCACAGCTGAAAAAACGCGGTGCAACCGGTCGCGGGTGGTTTCTTCCCTTTGTCTTCGTCTTCCTCACGTTT